TTTTTCTGGTGTTTAGTTTTCCTCTGGAATAAATAAGAACAAGAAGGCAGACTTCGAAACACAGGAGGACAGTTTTTGACTTGTTTGTTGTATCAAGAAATTTTACACCAAAAGTTTTGCTTTGTGAAATATTGTTGTTTTGTCGATAAATTTGTCAAATTTTCAGAGCAATCTTAAATTCATGAAAGTTAGGTGGCTCTGTGCCACACCTACAAAATATTTCAAAAACATTATATTTTGTCGTGGGGACAAAAATATTTCCTAAACGAAAAACGTCCACTGATGAGTTTTAAAGGTTATTTATCTCAAAAGGATAAAGGGTGTGCTGGGTTAACATCTTTTGACAATGCCATGGCAACCAATTTGACGTCATTAGCAGTCTATAAACACTTTAAGGCTTTTCCACGCAAGGCTTCCCCGGCACACACAATGTAACCTTTATAGTTTGTTTGTTTGTTTGTTGTCTTATTTTTATTGTGGCCATGAAAGGATACACTTCACCCTCTCCCACCGGGGGTTTTCCTTTTTGGTTACCGTTTTTACAGGTTGCAAGTTTTTTTTTTGGAGATAGTTAACTGTGTCGTTTCTAATGTCAATTTTCCTGTCAAAAAACCCAAAATAGTGTGAGGGAAAATTTAAAATATCCCGCGCAACAAGAAAGACTCTAGTGCGTGGCTGCAAATGTTTGAAAATTTTTAAATTGCAAATTAGAAATCTGATAACGGTATGTAGCATTGCTTTTTATCGCCCGTATGTTAACTGTTCACCTTTAAAACTTTAATTTACAGAGATCTACCGGTAACTTGGCTCATTGCTACGAGAAAGTATCAGGCTTCAGATCCTGTCGTTTGAAGTTGTTATGAAACACAAATACCTGCAACAAGAACTTGACTTGAAGCTCGTGCTTCAAACAAAGATGTCACGGTGTATTGTCAACTTATGGAATTTGAATTCTCCTCAAGGTAAGAACTGATAATATAGGATGTTTTTTTTAAATACTTTTTACCAGGGAACGCCATATTCTATATTATCATGATCAATCCTACTAACGGATCCGCGATATTTTTACGTAAGTACTGTTTTTATTACACGAAACGTTTGGTTTTATTTTGTAGAGAAAAGCCTTGTGCAAAATCTGTTAGAAACAGTCGAATAAACAACAAGCATGTATCAAGCGTTATTCTTTTGTTGTCCATCGTATTAATATCCTGGAATGTGTCGGTCAAATCGAGATATTTTTACTTTGTGGCGGAAATATTACAACGAAGTGAGAATATTTACTATGAATTTGTTCGCAATTTGGAGTTGTTACGCTCCTTTGCTTATTTCTTCCGTACATTTTTACCGAATATGCAAACAACAGAACTGGTACGTTCTGTGTATACTGTAAAGTGTTTCGTCGAGAAGTGTTGTCTAGAAGTGTTGTCCAAAAACTAGCCGTGTTTTTT